CCCCCCCCCCCCCCCCCCCCCCGTTCACACCTCCCCAGAGTAAAGGAATCCCTCATCCCTTCCAGACCGAGCCGTGATGCGAGTCTGCGGCGAGAACAAAACGGCTGAAAACTCGAGAACCTGCCGGGACAAACGCGGCTGGGAGACGCTGGGGATCCATCACCAATGCACGTGCGACACGGACTTCTGCAACGGGTCGCCTGCGATCGCCCCGGCCTCCTTCCTCTTTTTCCTCGTCGCCCTCGTTACGTAACGTTACGCGGCCGGACCGTGCGGACGGACAGACCTTCGGGCGCAGTTGACCTTTTGGGGATCCCGGTTGTAGACGCAGTTGTTGGCATTGTAGTCTTCCGCCACCTGGCTCAGCATCTTCGGGAACACGATGTGTCGCTCGTACCTAATTTCAAAAGGATTTTTCAAAAGGATTTTTCAAAAGGATTTTTCAAAAGGATTAAAGGCCAGTAACGTGGAATCTGGTGAATGCGCGAGACGTTAGAGAGAATTTTCCTTTGGTTATTTTTATCTCTTATTTTTGTACCATTGGACGAAATATGAATAAATAAAAACCTGCTAGCAGTTTTTTTGCTCTGATTATTGGGTAAATATTTAATCCCGTACATTATTTTAAAAACAACTTTTGAACATTCGTCTGGACACTGGAAACTTCCATTTTGGACTCGGTCAAATATTTGCATAACCTGAAACTTTCATGCATAAAAAAATTTGTTCACCTGTACACATCATCGTAGATGTTGCCGTAAACGAAGGCCCCGAGGAGCGACGTGTGTGCGTGCAGATCGATCACGAAATCCAAGTCCGCGTTCTGGACGGGGGAGAGGAAAAACGAGTCCGAAAAGATGCAAAAAAAAATAAAGTTGGTCGAAGCGAGTTCGGTCGGGGAACCTTGTCCTCGTCGATGTCGCTGATGAGATTTTTGGCGGAGAAGACGGTGGGGTGGGCCCACTGAGACGGTTCCGTCCACTGACGATTCAGGTCCATTCCCATCACGTTCGTCCTGATACAGCGAGGGGGAGAGCCTTTCGAGCAATTTTTTTTTAGCAAAAAACAATCAAAATTAATTTTGCGACGTGTTCCTCAAAAAAGCGCGCGAGGAACCGATGGACGAGTCTGTTCTTCCGGAATTTCGCTTCTTCCGGTAGAATACGAGGGGCGACGAAAAAGTTTCCGTAGTTGCGCCCGTGGTACTCCAGACGTTCGGAACGGAACGGAACCGCGCCTTCCACCGGCGTTTCGACATTCCAACCGATTTTGCACAAAATGTCATTCGCCTCTTCGCCGCCAATAAGCGAAAAAGCATTATCAGCACCCAGCCGAAAAGGAAGAACGCCAGGGTCCACCCCCGCCCCCGCCCCCTCCCCCTCCCCCGCCCCGTCAACACGAGAAATTGTATCAATATGTAACTATTGTACATTATAAATGGAGTTAGTCGATGCACGAAACTCGGAACGAACGAGGTCGGGCATTCGACCGAGAACGAAACGGCGAGACGACACCTGTAGTTGCCGAGGAAGGCCCCGTCCGGATTGAGCATCGGGACGATCTTGAAGACGACGTGCTCCCTCAGCGTCACCGCGATCGGGTGGGAACTGATGAGGAAATCCACGAGACCTGCGGGGAAAACCAGCGGGGAAAACCAGCGGGGAAAACCAGCGGGGAAAACCAGCTATCAACTTTCCGTCAAACTTTTTATTTTGTGCCCGAAACAAATTTTCTGGAAGGTCATGAAAATGAGGGAAAGAAAATTTGCTTCGGGTTGAAAAAAATTATTATATGCAGATGAGAATCCATATTTCCTACTATGAAAAATAAAAATCATTTTATTCATTACTTTCTTATAAATAAATGAAAATAA